ATCCAGGAGCCGTGCCTGGACAATGAGGATCGGAAACAAGACCCGTGTGCTGATCGTGGGTTTGGATGGAAGGTCATGGGGGTGACACCTTCAATCTGAGAATGGATGTCTTTGATCCTAGATATTCATTTCCTTGCAGGGACATTCCCTAAGCCTATCCTCACAGTGCAGCCAGACTCTGTTGTCTCCAAGCACACTAATGTGACATTCTTGTGTGAGGGGACCACAGGAGCCAAAGAGTATTGTATCTACAAAGATGGAGGTCAATACACACACTTTATACAGTTTCTCAGAATGAGAAAAAAGTCTCAGAATGAGGCTGAATTCTCCATCTCAAAAACTGACGAGCACCATGCAGGACAATATCACTGTTGCTGTCAGAACTATGACGGACAATCAGAGTGCAGTGACTCTGTGGAGCTGGTGGTGACAGGTGAGAGGACAAAACTCTTCCTATCCTAATTCTGTCAAGAATTGAGCCTGTTCTCAAGGGGCCCCAATACTTCTCAGCCCTGGAGGATAATGAGACCTGACAGATTTAACTGATTCTTGTTTCTCTCCTAGGAGCCTACAGTAAACCCAATCTGTCAGTCCAGCCCAGCCCGGTAGTGACTGAAGGAGGGAATGTCACTTTCCAGTGTGACTCAAGGGAGCAATTTGACAGGTTCATTCTGACTATGGAAGGGCCACAGAAGCTCTCCTGGATGCAGGGCAAACAGTACAACAACTCTGCTGAACTCTTCCAGTCTCTGTTCTCCGTGGGTCCTGTGACCTCCAGGCAAAGGTGGACATTCAGATGCTATGGCTTTGACAGGAAGAGACCACAGGTGTGGTCAGAACCTAGTGACACCCTGGAGCTCCTGATCTCAGGTGAGGGAGCAAAAACGTTCCACAGAATGATGTTGAAATGACATGGGCACTGAGGGATGCCCGGTAGTTGGTGTGTGTGAGGAGCCAGGGCTCTTTAGTCCATTGACACGGGTCATTGGAGATAGAGGGATCCAAGATACAGACTCCAAGAAAGAAAGCAGAAAAACCCAGGAGCTCCAGAGTGAGTAAATCTTCATGGGTCTTTATGGAACTCATTATTAGGGGAACTGCCAATCACAGGCGACTGCATTTGTGCTACTTTCAAACAGACACACCTCCTTCTCTCCTACTTCCTTGCAGGGACCCTCCACAAACCCACCATCAAGGCTGAGCCAGGCCCTGTGATCGCCTACAAAAGTGCCGTGACCATCTGGTGTCAGGGGAGCCTGGATGCACGACTGTACGTTCTGCATAAACAGGGAAGCCCCAAACACTGGGGCACAGAGTCCCCAGAGGGCTTTGGGGAAAGGGCCAAGTTCTCCATGCCTTCTGTGACAGAGGAACATGTGGGACACTATCAGTGTTACAGTTACAGCTCAGCTGGCTGGTCAGAGCCCAGTGACAACCTGGAGATTGTGGTTACAGGTGAGGGGACAGTCAGCGTCTCAGAGCCAGGCTCTGCCCTCAGTATTCCCTCCTCACAGCCTAGCCCTGGAGAACACTGTGTATGTGTGAACCCCTATAACAGACTTTCTCCTTCTCACTCTAGGGTTCTACCACAATAAACCAATCCTGTCAGCCCTCTCAGGACCTGTGGCAACACTAGGAGGGATCCTGACACTTCAGTGTGTCTCACAGGATAAATATCAAAAGCTCATTATCACCAAGAAAGATGAGAAGTTCTCCAGCTCCCTGGAGGACTCACAGGATATATATACTCATGAACACTCCACAGCCACATTCTCTATGAGTCCTGTGACCCCAGCCCACCGAGGGATATTCAGATGTTATGGTTACAGAATGGATACGCCACAGTTGTGGACGGTATCCAGTGATCCCTTGGAAATACACATCTCAGGTGAGTCAGTCACATCATTAACCAATTGTTTTGGGAAACACTAAGCTCTTTGCCAGGACATTGAAGCCCTGGGAAGTTGTTAGTGGAGAGAGACTAAAGAAAGACTCTGCTTTCTGAGCCAGAGCCCCACAGCCAGGATGAGGCAATGACATGTGCAGGGTAAGAAGGGATATGATATGTGTTTGGTTAAAAGCTGCTCCTCAGACCTTAGTCTGTCACCTTCCTTCTAGGGCTGTCAAAGAAGCCCTCTCTGCTGACTCTTCAAGGTCATATCCTGGACCCTGGAAAGAGTCTCACACTGCAGTGTTGCTCTGACATCAACTATGACAGATTTGTTCTGCACAAAGTGAGGGAATCTGACTTCACCCAGAACTATGGCCAGAGGACACACTCTGGCCTCTCCTTGGCCAATTTCACACTGGGCTCTGTAAGCAACTCCACTGGAGGGCAATACAGATGCTATGGTGCACACAACCTCTCCTCTGAGTTGTCAGCTCCCAGTGATGCCCTGGACATCATGATCACAGGTGAGGAAACACTGAGATTTCAACAGGTCACAGCCTTTGCATAGCCTTTCATGGGGAGCCTGGGAGGTGATGGCTAGGACAAGGGACAGAGAAGTTATGCAGGAAGAGATGGAGAGACAGGAGAGCAGAAGAGGAACTCAGTCAGAGAAGACAGACAGAGTCCAAGATGCTCAGGGAAGATCCTGGTGAGGTCTCAGCTAGGGAAATAGAGGCAGCCTCTCACCGTCGTCTCTCTTCTCCCCAGGGCAGCTTCCATTCACTTCTTTCCTCTCAGTGAAACCTAACTCAACAGTACATCCAGGAGACAATGTGACCTTCCTATGTTGGTCAAGAAACCCAACAGACAATTTCATTGTGTACAAGAATGGAACAGACCATCAGCCCAAGCAACTAAAATCAAAGTTCCAAGATGGTCATTTCCAGGCAGAATTCTCCATGAGTGGTGTGACCTCTACCTTCTCAGGAAGGTACAGGTGCTATAGTTCTCTTGACTCATCACTCCACCTGCTGTCGAATGCCAGTTCCCCTGTGGAGATCACTGTCTCAGGTGAGGTGATTCTGACTTCTCAGAGTGACTTAAAATCCCAACCCTAGATGAGGTCTTGACTGGGGTGTGATTATGGGGACGACAGTATGGGTTAGTCAGAAGACACTTTCCCTGACAGAGAAGTGGATGCCAGTAGGCGTTCTTCAATTATTGTTCACTTCATATTTTGTTGCACTCTAGGATTGGGGTAGACAGCATGGGGATCCTGGCGATGTTACAGGGCAGATATAGAACAGTGAGCAGAGTCAGGATCCCTGTGTTAGCATCTAACCCTCATCTTCTTCTTGTTCTGTTTCCTAGAGTCCATGGAAGTCTCCAGCCATCAACCCTTAAAGCCCACAGAAGCTTCCAGCTGTCCACCCTTAAAGCTCATGGAAGCCTTCAGTCCTCCACCCTTAAAGCCCATGGAAGCCTCCAGCCCTCCACCCTTAAAGCCCATGGAAGCCTCCAGCCCTCCACCCTTAAGGCCCATGGAAGCCTACAGCTGTCCACCCTTAAAGCCCATGGAAGCCTCCAGCCCTCCACCATTAAGGCCCATGGAAACCTCCAGCCCTCCACCATTAAGGCCCATGGAATTCTCTAGCCTTCCATCCTTAAAGCCCATGGAAGCCTCCAGAATTACACCCTTAGAGCCCAGGGAAACAGCTGGTTGGTAAGTATCAGGCACTGCTGTGGAGGATTTCTGCTCCATCTCCAGGCTGCCTCACACTTTTTATCCCAATGAAGTCCTCATTTCTTGAACATTCCCGCTTTTGAGTGCAAGCAGCAATCCCAACACAGACCTGAGTAGCCCAGGGTTTAGTTTACACTATAGAAGATGACATCGAAAAAAATTAAAAAACAAAACCAAAGCAAAAAAATGGCTGGGCGTTGGTGGCGCATGCCTTTAATCCCAGCACTCGGGAGGCAGAGGCAGGCGGATCTCTGTGAGTTCGAGGCCAGCCTGGTCTCCAGAGCGAGTCCCAGGATAGGCTCCAAAGCTACACAGAGAAACCCTGTCTCAAACCCCCTCAAAAGAAGATGACATCCAGAGAGAGATGTTTTGACTCAAACTTGGGAATGAGGGAGGAGTGTTAGGTGGAGAGCAGGGACCCCCAGACACTCACCTACTCATCCTTCCATGAAGGCTCTGAGAATAAACCTCTCCCTGCATGGAGTCCAGCTCCAGAGGGTTGGTAATGACTGTGATGGATGGTGGGGTCCAGATTGGCAAAGGCCAGAAATGGGATTGATATATCAGGTTCTGGAGATGGTAACAGGGACAATCCCTTCCCTTTCTGAGCTGGCTTCTGTTTCTCTGAGCATAAAGGGGGAAAGCCTTGGCTACATACATAATTTTTTATGTGCTGGCTTTGATTTTGCCCCTTCCTGATAGATGAGGCCTTTAAGAACCTGGTTGTCCAGTGTCCCACAGTGGTGGTGACAGGTACAAGGATTGGGCACAGTACCATGGCAGTAGTCTTCCCTTCATCTCATGTTGCACAGCTGTTGGGGAGAACATTGCTGTGAGCTTGAGTCCCTGGGTTCAAATCTCAGCTCTGTCACTTCCAAGTAAGGGGATCTCAGGCAGGTAAACTGACTTGATAAAAAGACAAACAATTCCATGCCACATCACTGTGGGGATGGGAGATGATGGGTTAAAAGACTGAGCGTGGGCCTGGCACACAGTAGTTGCTCAGGTACGTAGCAACCATCTTACTCCTGATGTCACTTTTGCCCCAGGACTTGAATGTTTCCTGAAAGCTCTGGTTTGCGTGTCTGTGGCCTTTGCCCTGTTCCTCTTCATCCTCATTTTCCTTCTTCTCAGACGAAGGCAACAGGGGAAAGTCAGGAAGGAAGGTGAGTGACCTGGGACTCAGATGGTGGTAGGTTCCCCTAGGGATCATTCAAGCAGGGCAGCAGGACATTAAGACCAGGGAAATGTCAACTGGGGCAGGGTAGTGAAAAAGTCTTGCAAATCTTAGATCAGAAAGCACATGATATCAGAACCTGTGAGATTTTAGCTGTTCTGTGGGATTGACCATAGCCTGGGACATTTGCTAACTCATCCATGTGCTATAAAGACCTCTTCCTTCCTTGCCCAAGAATCCCTGGGAGAAGAGCTCAGCAAGCTCCTAGCCCAGACACTGCTTTTCTCTTTCAGCCCAGAAAGAGAAACTTCCTGCAAGAACTGCAGAACTAGTAACCAGGTCAGAGGCTCCCAGAGGAGGTAACCCATGGCCATAGACATATCCGGCCCACCTGGAACAATTTGATGCTAATTGACATTCTTCTTTTCTTTCCAGATCAATACCAGCTGCTGCCACCCAGGAAGAAAACATTTGTGAGAAACAGAGGGTCCTGGGGAAGGAGATGTCTGAGGAGGACTCAATACTACAGTGGTGGTGGAGGGGCTCTGGGGTCTTTGCTGTTTGGTCTTCACTTCACACTATGAACTCGAAGATATCAAAACATGACCCATTCTCCATTCCACTTGTGGCTATGCAGGAAACTAGGGTTCTGAGTTGTCCCTAGACTCTGCCCCCAAAACAATGTTTGTTTTTCTATGACAGATGCTTCCATGGAGGACATACATCCTGAGCATGGTGTGGGGATGAACAGTTTGGTGAGGATCATTTACCTATCTACAGTACTAAGAACTTAGGGCCCAGAGAGGTCCAAGAGTTATTCTTACTTTCTCAGCTTTCATCAACATCCAGTACCACTCCCTTCTGTGAGCACCATCTGCCTCCCATGTGCTTTGGCCTCTGGCTTTCCTGGGAAGAGCTGGTTCCTCCCTCATGTCCCCTGTCAGGCTCCTCAGCCTCTGTCTGGTTTTTCATATGTACCTAAGAACCCAGAGATCACAGGACTAGATGAATCCAGATGCCCCTTTCCTTCTAGTCACTCACACATCTGTCAAATAAATCCTCTTCCTTGCCAGGCTTCCTGCAGGGATTAGAGTTAGTGCCAAGAGCACATTCCATAATCAGTGTCAGGCAATATGGTAATAAATACAGAGTGCATGCTGTATAACGTGTTTCAGAAAAACAAAGAAGAACAGAGGGTGAAGTGTTTGGGGAAAGAAAGGGCCAGTGTGAAGTACAAGAGAGTCCCCCGAAAAGTGTCTTCTGAGGGGGAAACTCACATGGACAAGTCCAGAGTTACATTTAAGGGACCAGCAACTGCAGGCAGGGGACACAGCAGGACAAAATAAATTGGGTAGAAATATGGGGTTGAGTTTTGCAGGTCATGTTATGTGTATGGATGTTTGTCCTGCATGCATATCTGTATAGCACATGTCTCCCTAGTGCCACAGAGGTCAGAAGTGCACGTGAGATACCCCGGAACTGGAATTACAAATGATTGTTAGTCATCGTGTGGGTAGTGGAAATTGAACCTGGACGCTCTTCCAGGGCACTCTGTGCTCTTAACCACTGTGCCATCTCTCCAGCCCCCAGAATCATGAGTTTCTAGAAGTTGGATTGTGTGGCTGGAGGCAAGAAAACAATTTTATAGTGTAAAGATGAGGACAGAACTGTAGTATGGAAGCCTAAACAGTTCAAAGTTCATGCTGTGAAAAACTGGCCACTGGAGATCCCCAGGACAACAGTGGGACATCTGTACCTCTTTATTTCTCTGCTACAGAGACCATCTGAGATAGGCCAGTTGGAACACATATATGCCAATGTGAACCTCCCCAGGCTCAGGAGGGCTGGAGCTGTCCTTCCTTCTGTCATGTCAGGAGAATTCTAGGACACAAAAGAAAGACAAGCTGAAGGTGGCAGATAGATGGACACTCAGTTGCGTCCTGTTCCTCCCTAGCCCTGCATTTCCCCCAGGCCATATAACTTCCTTTCAATCTCTCCTTCTCCAGGCTGAAATATCTGAAGAGCCTCAGGATGTGACCTGTGTCCAGCCCTTCCGAATGACACTCAGACAGGAGACAGCTGTATCTCCTCCCTCCCAGGCAAAGGAGGTCCCAGAGGAGTCAACATATATACTGATCTGGCAGCCATCAATCCAGGGCCATTCCCAAGAACAAAAGTGAATGACTCTCTGCTTGCAAGAATGCTTACCATAGACCTGTAAGCAATTGTGTCAGTTTTGGGGAATCTGCCTGCAATTTAATTAACTTCACTCATTTTGGAAATAAAGCAGGTGATTTTTCAATTAGCAAGTGACATGTGATTAAATATAGGAGGGTCCCTAAATTGACTACTAATTTTAATGACATTACTCATCAAAGCCATGAAACAGGAAAGTTTACATGCATAGTTGCCCAGACCCATAATCCCATCTCAAGGGAGAATGAGGCAGGGGAATTGCCTTTGTTTTGTGGCCGTCTTTTGATACCAAGTGAATTCTGTGCTAGCTTGAGGTACAGACCGGGACATTGTTCAAACATTAGCCACCAAAGGCCAGATGTGTTGGTACCCACCCTAAATGCTAGCACTTTGGAAGTGTTGACAGGCGCACCAGCTGGTCAACATAATTCGTCTTTAACTACACACCATAGGATTAAGAGGCCAGGCTAGAGCACACTAGGATTTTTTAAAATAAATAAGTGAATAAATAAATAGGAAGGGGTCAGTAGCCAAGCACTAAGCAGGTAGAGACTGCATAATTCTCAGAGTCTGAGGCCAAGCTGGTTCACATATTAAGCTCAAGGACATAGAGAATGCCTGTCTCAAAAAATAAGTAATAATCTAGGGCCAATGAGATATTTCAACAGGTAATTCCCTTGATACTAAGCCTGATATCCTAAGTTTAATCAACTGGATACACATAGTTGTAGGAGAAAACTGACTCCCAGGAGTAGTGCTCTGACAACCACTTAACACCTTGGTGTGTGCTCCCCACAACGAAAAAGTAAATAAAGTAATTGAAAAACTAAAAATAAATACAAATAAAATCTGTGTTTGCTGTTGTGGACCTTTAACCCCAACAATTCTCATCACACAAACAAGAAAATGTAGTATTACATTGGTGACAGAATGCAATAGTTTGAGAGAGAATGCCTTTTCCTGTGTATTTAGACAATTGGTTTTTCCAATGGTATTGTATTTGTATTGTATTGAAAAATTCCCAAGGCTCATGACTTAGAAAGACTAATTCTCTGTTTGCTAGTGGTCATTAGCTGACAGTAGTTGTCTGTCTAAGCATGGAAAACACGAAACATTTCCCTCCCATATTAAATGTTCTTTTGTACTGCATTGTTCTGATCTCATTCACGTTTGGAAATAGAATCAAGCCATTTCTTCCGCCAGTTCTAGGAGAACTGATCTCATTGGTGACATCCTGGTATTTTGGCTCTTACAATCTTACTGTTCCCTCTTTTGTGATGTTCTTTGGGTCATGGATGCAGGGTCTGTGATGTAGATGTATCTGTTGGGACTGGAATACCCATGATCTATTGATCTCTGCATTGTGTACACACTTGGCTTTCTGTGATTACCTCCAGTTGCCATGAAGGTAGGCGTTCTGGATTGATACTCTGAAATGATATCCACACAAACATCAACAGAAATCTGATTCGGCAGGTTGTATTCACATATATGAGCACACACATGTACCAATATAGACTAATGATAAGCAAAGGGGAGAAGGTTATCACTTTGAGATTGGGGGCATTGGACAGATTCGAGGAATGGCATCAGAGAGGGGTAAACAGCAGAAAGTGAGGGGAAAAGTATGTAATTCTTTCAGTGAGAAACACATTTTAGAAAGATAGGAAGTAAAAACACAGCAATAGAAGACATTCCTTATCTCTGTGGAGCCTATGGTAAACTCACCAAAGTTTGATGAAGTCTATGAATTGATTGAAATCTTTGAATAGGCTTTATTGGTGTTATTCATATGAAGACGTGAAGAAGCAAATGAAGCTGTTGATAGGATACCTGGCCTGTTGAGTGATAACATGGATATGTGTCATTTGGGTGGAGGCATGGGAGGAGATTGACGGTGAATATTGCTACATGTGTATATCACTGAAGGGGAAGGAGAAATAATACAAGGGGCAGAATATTGGGCATGGCAGCAAATGTTATCTACTGTGCATAACACTGATTTTGCAAATGTGAATGTTGCAACATGCACTAGGTCTATAAAATACTGGGCCTGTCAGAAGTCAATTATGGGTCAGGTAAGGACTCATGGACCTCTATCATGAGCTATTTAAACTCTCCAGCCTTTGATCGAGCTTTTTTTTCCTTTTTTTGCCAAATTTAAATTAAAAATATTATTTTACATACCAATTTTAGCTTCTTTGATCTCTTTTCCTCCCCCTCCCCCCACCATCACCTCATCCCAACCCCATCCACTCCTCAGAGAGTGTGAGGCTTCTCCTGGGGGATCATCTAAGTCTGTCACATCATTTGGGAAAGGACCAAGCTCCCCCATCCCCGTATAAAGGCTGAAAGAGTATCCATCATAGGTAATGGGCTCCAAAATGCCAATTCATACACTAGGGATAAATACTCATTCCACTGCCAGTGGCCCCATAGACTGCCCGAATTCCCCAATTAATACCCACATACATGGATCCTAAGACACAGGCCGTTCCTACATAAATTGCAGGAAGAGCACCCCCCTGATTGATCAAACTTTTAAAATATGAGTATGTACTATAACTGTAGGTGGCAACTATACCTAGTAGCCAGATAAGAAGGGGATTAAGAGAAAACAGAGATAGTGAATGTGGTTAGAGAATTTCATAAAACACCACATCTGATTTCAGGTCATAATTTGGCTTTGGCTGGCACTGGGATACCCTGGAGGAGCAATCCAAGACCATTTGGTGTCATGGAACTCTGGCGGTTACTGTCACCCACTCCTTAGAAAAGAAATTCAAGGGTTTGAGCAAGACCAGCTGAATAGCATCTTGGGGCCAAAGCTTAGTTTTGATCCTTTTCATGAGAGGTGATAATGTAGGTCTATATCATTGTTTCCATCATAAAAGCAGTGGCTTGTAAGAGAGCAGTGACACCTTTAGCTCATGGTGACAAAGGAATGAACACTCAGTGTGCCTAAGATCAACCCTGCCCAAAAGAGTGAAATATCCTGTTCTCAGGAGTCCCCATTACATTCGAGCCCTGGATGGTGTCACCTGCTACTAGAAATCAACAGTACCCTGTGCCTGTAAGCATTGTCCAGTCAAGTGGTGTCCTGGGTGTGACTATGATACTCCATTGTGTGTCTGAGTACATTCTGGGAAGCTTCATTCTGATCAAGAGAGGATAACAGCTCATGGGTGTTGTATCACAAGCTCAAATCAAATCCAAAATGCATATTATGTTCCTCCTGGACCAACAGATACAGACCCACACATGTCGGCATGCAGATTCTACAATGATTGTAAGAAAAAAACACCAATGTGTTCAATATCCTGTAATCCACTTAAGGTTCCTCTCACAGGAGAGTAAGTCCTAATCCTGAAAAATTATTTCAAGACATGAAGTTGTTTCTGGGATCCCTGTTCTGAGGAGAGGCACAAATGGAAAGTGACTTATGGAGCTGAGTTCTCCCATGTCAGACTGTGAGAGCAAGGCAGACATGCCTCAGAGGTTTTGAGAGGGCTGATGCAGAGGAAGAATTAACACACTTCTCTTGGCCTATCAACCCAACAGGATTCTCTAGGAATTCACCACAAATGAGCCAAAAAGGATCTTTCCTGGATACTCGAGATGCTGGCACTCTTAATGTCTTTCTGATGTCATTTGTTACAGACTAACTCTGTCCAAATGTGGAGAAACATGGCTCCTCGTATTCCCTAGCCACATCTCTAGACTTGAAACTCCCAGGATGACTTCTTCCTGGCTTCTGTGAGATGTTCATGGGAGAGAGCAAAAATCCTACATTACACACAGAGCTCTGCACACAGACTGCTAAAAAACCTGTCAGAGATGAACAGTCCATCCAGTCAAGCTTAGAGTTGACACTGGTGCCACTGGGGGATTCCAGATGGCGAATGACAATAGAAATGGTTGGATTCCTGGATGAACAGAGGATGAATAACAGTGTGGTGGGAATGAGAAGAAACACAGAAACACACATTTTCAGATTCAGGTCATGGTGAGATTTTCAGCTGAGAATTAGGTAGGAAGCTCATTACTCACCCTTCTCTCTTACACAGCTCTCAATAAAACCTTTTCTGTCTGTGCAGCCAGCCTCCCCTCATGGTGTTCTTTGAGAGAACTCTGCTTAGCCAGTAATGAAGCTGGATGGACTGTTTCTTCCTGTCTTCCTGTCCAAAGAGAGACACAAAATCCTAACCTGAATATTAGTGATTTTTCACCCTTGCATTGAGAGGAAAGCATTCATAAGCAACATGAGTTGGAGACATGGCTCAGGGGTTAAGAGTACTGGTTGTTCTTACAGTTCAGGCTCACAACAACCATCTATATTAGAATCTGATATCCTCTTCTGGCATTTAGATCACTCATAAATAAATAAAATTTTAAATAGAATGGAAAATATTAGACTCTCTCCCTCATCTCTTGTGTGTGTGTGTGTGTGTGTGTGTGTGTGTGTGTGAGAGAGAGAGAGAGAGAGAGAGAGAGAGAGAGAGGGGAGGGAGAGAATGAGAGAGAGAGAAAGATAGAGAGAGAGAGATCTGTGTTTCATTCACAGTAACAGAGGGAAATGTGTTCTCTCAAATAGACAAAGAAAGAAAATTTGATTCAACGTCTAAAATGAGCACCAAGTTGGTGAAAAACAGAATTCAATCACTGCCCAAAACAGTGAAAACCTGATGTACTATGGGTGACAAGGGAGTCATACCAACACAGGACCTATACCCAAGACACCATTATAAAGACCATGCCCAAGACTGATCTTGATTTGGACAGAAACTCTCCTATATCCATCATTATCCTGTTCCCAACTCAACCTGACACAGACTATAGGGGAAGCTTTTAAACAGGCTTGAATCTAGAGAATGGAGACCCAAAACTCAACTCTGTAGCCAGTTGTCCAGTAAAATAGAGCAGCATAAAATAACTTTAGTGTTATCATCACCAAAGTACATCCAAACTCTCTCTAAGCCAAATGCAGTGACCAGAGAATTTAGAGGTATATTCTGAAGACCAGCTGTAAAGGCAGCCATGAGGTGACTGAGAGGCTGGGGGCTGCAGATACAAAAGAAATATCTGACCCCTTTCTGTCTCCATGTCATAAGTCATAACTGAGCAACATTTATTCATAGACACACCACAAAACACAAACAAAGTTTCTAATGACACAGACAGACAAGATTTTGAGAAACAAATGAAGAAACTTTCCAGGGGAACCACACTTGTTATGAATTATATACACTTCAGCCCATGTATATGAGCAACTTAAAAATACTGACGCAAGGATTTGTAGCACAATCCTAAGGGTCTATACCATAATCTTAAGATACAGAGAAAGATTTTAAGTGAGTCTTCTAGCTGCCTCAGGCAGGATTACAGCTCCTGAGAGAGGCAAGAGAAGAAAAGCAGATGTCCAAGTGGTTGTAGCAGGATGCAGGAGCTAGACACATATACAAGTATATTTAAGAGCTTCTTCTATTCTCTGTCAGATTGAGTCAACTGGCACAGAAAACAAAGATGAACTGTCAAAAAACTAGACTTTTTTTGTGAACATTGTAAAGTCATTTTATTGGATACCGTTAAAAATTTATGAAAAAATTACTTAAAACTATTGACATATTTTTGGTCGAAGAGAGTAACTGAAAAAATAGGACTCTAAAATGTGGACAAATGGACAAATGAATAGTGGATGCTGTAGGGGAGAGCTTGTGTGCTCTGAGCAAGAGACAGCTAGCCTTTCTGTCCCCTGGGCCAGAGGGAAACAGCAGCTGCATTCACAGAAGGGAGGGTCTAGAGCCACTCAGTCTCTGACTCCTTAATTGCAACAAACTGATTGACAGGACATTTTCACAGTTGAGAGAGAGAAAGACTGAGACAGAGAGACACACAGAGATACACACAGAGAGACAGAGGACAGAAACAAGCAGGGTTTGGAGGAAAGATTGCTCAGTCAAAGGAAAAAGCATCTGGTGAGAGGTGATTATGTAATTGCCTAGGGGCTGAGGTAAGCTGCCTCTGTAGCAGGAACTACTACACCGTTAAGCAGCTTATTACAAAAACCATGAGTCAATAGCAAGGAGTAGCTTCCGAGAAGCAGAATTTTCCATGACAGAGAAAATACGGAATCACCACAGCCAGTGAAGAACATTCCCAGGGCCTTGAAATGCCAAGAGAGATTCCTCAAAATCCAAGATGAAAGCCTGCTACAGACTTGAGAGACTGGCAGCCTCCATAGAGATTCTTACGTAGATGCTACATACTAGATGTTTGTTAGATATGAAAAGGTTATTGCTTCCACCTAGTTGGACTGGCTAATGTTAGGGAATGGCAAATGATCCCTGAGGACAGAGGGCAAAGAAGCAACTAGCAGGGTTTGTGCACCTGGGAGCATGATGGAAAGAAATTAGGTGAGTCATCCTCAGAGAGAGAGAGAGGAGCTCTTTTTATTCTTGCAGAGGTAAGGTCTATGAGGGTTTGTATGGGAAGGGTTTATAGGCCATCACCTAATTATATAGGCAGGAGCAAAGGACAGGGTTTATGTGTTGAGTCACGCAGCATTTGCAGGGTGCTATGGGCAGTGTCATCTTCCAAATAAGGTCAAGAATCTGAGCTTACAGAAACTCTACAAATAAAGTCAGGGAGAGAAGGTGACTCCTGCTGAGAAACGGAGTCCTCCATTTTGCCCTGAGCTTAGTAAACTGCAATCTTAAATGCATGATTCTCCAGCAGAGGGCAGTTCTCTTCCCTGTGAGACTGCTCCAGGACAGCCATGTGATAGGTAGTAAGCTGCCTTCAAAGGCCACACTCTATGTTTCTTGTCCCATGAGACCAACCCAAATGTAAACCCAGGACTTTGCCCACAGAAGGCAATTACTGGAGCACAATCTCAGTTTGGCAGGTGAGGCTTGTTGGGAGGTGAGGGTCATCACACTGAAAGCATGAGTGTTTCCATCACACATTCTGAAAACTAGTTTCTCTTATGTAGGATTTCAGGACATCTTCTTGGTTGAAAACAAAGCATAAAAGAAATGTGCTCCTGGGAGACCCTGCTGATGGGTTGGCGTGAACAGGGGAGGAGGGGTGGAAACAAGTGATCAGAACTCATTTTCCTAGAACAAACCATCTGGTTATCTCATAGGAAGTCGGCTTGTCAGATCCTAGAGATGATAGACAAACAGAAAATAGTCGCTGGCAATCTGGGAGACAAATGTATAAACAAGCAATTCCTGGGCAGTGTGACAAGTGCTCAGTATGATGGACAGTAGTGAGTGGAGACTCATTCCGGCTATATTCCATTCAGAGCCTAGTGACAGATGCCATAGAGTTGTTTGCTAAAGACAGACTCTACATGACTGGACACTGTCCACTGGACAGTGGCTAAAATGGAAGGGGAGGAGCCTTGGTTTGGGAAACCTGTGGAAGGCATAGGGCAGAAACCGTGCTTGGGCTGGAAAACAGACCCAGGAGAGTTGCAGCCCCCATCCAACAGCAGCGTCTTCCTCTCAGGGTGAGCGGGAAGTGATGGAGAGATTGGGTGGCCATGAGTGCTCACAGGCGTTTCTCGCAGCAGGGCAGGAGGAAAAGGGGAAAGTTACCCGGGCGCCAATGCCGAAGGGGCATAAACCCTGCCAGCCACCGGCTGGGTTAAAATTAGTTCCCCAGACCCACCCATGGGTTCAAATTCAGTCCCAAAACTCCTGCCACCAGACATAGATGTTTACAAAATGGAGTCAGAGATAGGTTGATAACCAGTAGTTTATTGGGGGACAGTACTCACGAAAGGGAGCCAGTGACCAGGTTTGCACCTGAGCAGGATGGACCAAGAAAATGCTTCCCAGTCTGCTCAGCCAGGTAAAAAAAGAGCTGTTTGCTTGCATCCATCCTTCTTAAACCCTTGTTACATAACTGACTAGGCCCAAGCAGGCAGGGTCAGCAGTACCTCTAATCAGGATTTCTCCCTACACTGGTCCATCCCAAAACTGCAGGGTATCAGGAGGTTGGGAAGAGGGGTGTAGATGAAATTTCTTTTCCACCTGTTTCATTTTACTAGAGACATAATTCTGGAGCATTGTCTGTCTTTATTTGTCCAGGTATCCCCATGATGGCCATAACTTCTTATAGATGTGTAATTACAGAATAAACCTTTTTATAACTCTAAACAGTTGCCCATTAAAATCCTGAACATATATCTATAGTAAGGTATACATTTTTCATTTTTCAAACTCAGCAAAATGAACCACATCTATTTGCCAAATTTCATTTCTTTGAGTAACCTTTCGGTTATCTCCTGCAGGTAGTGGAGTTTGGTTATATAAAGAACAAGTAAGACATTTCCTTGGCTTGCTACCTAGTGATAGAAAACTATTTTTCAACTCTTGCTATTAATATGGCATTTCTAATGAATTTCTGAGGCTTCTAGCATATTTCCTACCAATAGCTGATCAATTTCATCATTACCTTGTGACTGAGGGCATGGTAGACACACATAGAATCTGATACATTTTATACATCATGGATAATTTCTGTTTCTGATTATTTCTTGTAACTGAATAAATAAAAAGTCAATTCTGAATGATCTGGAATAAATTTAGCAGTTTCAATATGTAAAACAACTCTTTCTGCATATTGAGATCAGTAACTGTATTAAGATGTTCTAGAAAATTTAATAATATCATGAAAATAGAATATAATTCCAACTTTTGAACAGAATTATAACAGATTTGAGACATTGATTCAATTCTGACTTATAATCTGCCTTTTATGATTTGTTTGCATTAGTATAGAATGTAGGGGCTGCAGAAATTGAGGCTCCCCATACAATATGAGGAAGTTAGTTTTCTTTATGAAATAAAATCTCTTCATTTTGGGATATTTGTTGTTAAAGATACAAGTGACAACTCACGCTGGAGAGAATGTGGAGCAAGGGAAACACTCCTCCATTGCTGGTGGGAGTGCAAACTTGTACAGCCATTTTGGAAGTCACTGTGTCAGTTTCTCAGCAAACTGGAAATCAATCTACAATAAGACTGAGCTGAACCACTCTTGGGCATGTATTTCTGGTGGCCAAGTGATAGAAGCAGCCGATGGCAATTGAAGTTTGAGGTGTCAGAGCACCAGGAGGTAAATTTCTAACTGGTGAATCTCAGATAGGCAAGACTCTGAGATCACAGACTCTGCTGTGCCTTTACACATTTGCTGCTGCAATCTTTCTGTGGTTTCTGGCATGGTGTGAATGGGTGTGGGAGATCCCCAATGACTGAGGTGTAGTGTCTTTTTCTCATAAAAACATCCCTTCCTACTGAGCACTGTTAACCTTGAATTATTATGAAGATAATTTCTTCCTAAGCTGTACTGTCCAATTGATAATAATAACATTAGTTAAAATAGAGTTTTGATGATAAAAAATAAAACAAGGAAATGTCACAGAACTAGAACACATGAGTTCTATTGACGAGCTGTATGCACTGTGGCTTAGCCTAATGATAAAGAAAAACGATTGAGTTCCAGTCACACCAGTAGTTTAAATTCTATCTTAATATTTGGAGATGTATTCACAGGTTCAGAGTGCATCATAGATGAAACAAATAATTTAAAGTAAGATTAAGATATTTTTTGTCAACATGTACCAGGAAAAACATTAGAAACATGGGCTTCCTGGACTCAGATAAAATATATTTTTGTCAAATAGTTTTCAGGTGAAAAATCCAAGAAGACAATATAAAGTTTCAGAAAGTCACATAGCAGCCCCATTATCATTAGCTAATGTGCTTTTCTTCCTAGGATTGTTTGATGACCAATGGTGAAGATAAATTCCTTATACACATTGTTTGCATACATATATATATATATACATATATACATATATACACATATATACACATATATACATATATACATATATACACTCACTATGTATATATATGTATATATACTCATATATGTATATATACTCATATACATATATATATATATATAGTGAGTCTAGTATTCAGAAGAGCTGATGTGTCATTCTATATTCAGAATGAACCTGTGATATTTCTATCATGATACACACTGTAGGGTGACATTTCCCCCTGAAGTCACCATATGTGTG